CAAAGTCTTGGGATGCTGAATTGGATTGGATTTGGCTAAATGGTTATTAATAATGTTTTTAAAATGGATTTTAACTTAATGGTTTTATTTAATGTGTAATGTTGTGATATATTGTGTATGTATTCTGTATGTGTTGGCATTGAATTGTTGCCATTGTGAGCCGCCCTGAGTCCCCCTTCAGGGGTTGAGAAGAACAAGCAAGGGGGATAAGCAGGTGGAGATGCCAGTGACTGAGGCTGAAGCAAACAACACCCAGCAATCACCTACCTTGAAGCCTTTTGAAGTTCTAGTGGTTGAAGCTGAAGTGAGAATTTTATTTATCTACTTTTCTGCGATATTTGTATATCGCCCTTCTAAACTCCTAAGGGGACTCAGGGAAGTTCACAGTGTTGGCAACATTTCAATGCCATTGATAAAACAGTATAAAACATCAACATTGACCCTCCCCTAATAAACATTATAAATTATTAAACACAGCACATAAAATCACATATATCTCCCAGTAAATTCCAAAAAATATAAATATACCTACTAGGGCTGTGTGATTGAAGAAAAAAAATGTTTCAAAACTCATTACAAAATTAGGTGGTGCTGGCATTTCATTTCTAAAGTGTTTCTAAAGTATAGTTAGTGAAGAATTTGTTACTATAATGAGAGTAATGAAATTTTGTTACTATAATGAGAGTAATGAAATTTTGTTACTTTTTCGTTATAGTAATTGCACAAGTGGGGAAACTTCAGAGGCTCCTTTCTCCCTCATTTTTACAGCTATTGGGATGAAACTTGCTACAATGGTAGAACACGTTTACCAGTATTATCCCATCAAGTTTCAGAACCTTTCACTAATTCACAAAAATGTGGGGAATTTTCAAAGTTTTTTTAAAAACAACGTTAAAAATAAACAAGAAGAGCTATCTTCTTGAATATTCTGTACAATGAGACAAGATAACGGGACCATTCCCTCCAACTTTTCAAAATATTAATACATCTACTGATTTTAGGGATTTTTTTTTACAAATGTGACAAAACTTTAAAAAAACACAACAGCTATCTTATTGGATGTCTTTCATATAAATATTAACTAACAGAACTCCATTTAGGGATTTGCTTACTTAAAGATTTACTTACTTGAAGTGTTAGTCACACACACACACACACACACACACACACCCTTTGCAGATTCAACAATTCATTGGAACTCTGACTGGCTGCTGCTACGGAGGGACAAATCTCTTCCCTATCTTGATTGGGGCTTTCTGATGCTGAGCAGAATTCTAGGAAATGTAGTTTATAGCAGGGTCTTTTGAATTCTCTTGCCTTCCCAAACTACATTTCCCAGAATTCCATACTTCCTCAGTCTCTTTCCCAGCAAACTCTGCTTTCTCCCTGCTGTTTCCCTCTCCTATTAGTGAGAAGCCATTAATTTAAGGAGGAATTGCAATCTTTTTGGCTTTGCTTTGCTTGCTTGCACTAAAAATAAAACTGACTTTGGGAGGCTTCTGAGATTTACACAATGAAAATGAAAATGTATTAGGTAAGTTTTGATTCTTAAATTTTTGGCGCAGGCCATGCCCATGTGTCAGAGATCACGTTGTAAGTATGAATTTAATAAATGTTATCTGACTTACGACGACTAATTAAAAATTGCACACCCCTAATACCTACAGTGTTGCAGAGATACCAGAAAGGGAAGGCTTCGGAAAATCACAGTGCCTTTATGAGGAACACTGCTTAATCAAGGAACAGATAAGAAATTGAATCACAGCTAGAAATCAAGCAGTTGCTCAATGCTTCTCTGCTGAGGACAACTGATTTGTTTTGACCTGAGTTCCAATGCTTATTCATGCCTTTGTGGATTTGACCTCGGACCTGCTATCATTATTCTTCTGGCTCAACCCTGCACTGACTTCTTAATTTGGCTTCCTTGACCTTGAACTGTTTCAACTTCAACTAAACTCACATGTCTCCTATCTTCTGGTTGTTTGTTTAGTTTGGACAAGCCAGTTGAATTGGTGCTCTGATTTGGATAGGGGGTGTGGTCGGGGCATGAGCAGTACAGCATGGTCATAACTGCTGTTTGGGAGGACGCAACTAACACCTCTCAATGATGAGGGGGACATCAGGTAATCCTGGCATGTCTGTTTGACCTGGCAAACAGGGTATGTCTCAACCATGGTATTTGGGGAATTCTTACTTAGACAGATGTATATATTTACTTGATGCAAAAGTTATATGAACTCTTGTTTCCAGTAACAGAGCTCATTGCATAATATAATTATGGTATTTGCTGTCTAGGATCTAATCGTTTCAAGCAATCCCTCAGCTCTCAAAAGCAAAACTATTAAAATAAAATAAAAATAAAGATAGCACTGTTTATTGCAGGTGGAAATACTAGATGTTTACAAAGAAATATAATACATTCTTATCCCCAAGGGCCAATTTACAATCCCAAATAATGATATACACATGGCTTCTCATTCATATGTCTGCGTGAAGTGGGTGTGGGTGGGTGTTAAGGAGGGAGAGGAGAGGAGGGAAGGGGAGGGTGTGAGAGATTAAAAACCAGAACTATTTAGAGTTTTGGAAAACACATTTTGGAGATCATAACTTTTAAAGAAAAGCATGACCTTTCAGAGAAGAGCCAAAAGTAGAATTATCTCTTGTGGTATACAACCAGATGCAATTATGCTAGGCAATTGTTTCAGTCGTTAAACCGAATAACCTGTTATGTCTGATCTGTTAGAAAAACAGATTTTGCCAGTACATATAAAACAGCAGTGCGTCAGAAAAAAATTAAGTGTTTTCCAGTACCCTCTATATATATATATATATATATATATATATATATATATATATACTCTCCCATAAAACAACTTGTTTTATATAATGCACTCAAGAGACAAAAATGAAGTAGACTTTGATTAAAAAATAATATATTTGGTTTACGCACAAGCTTCATGTGTTCAGCATACATAGGTACAAAACTTATCAGTCCAGTTTCAGATATATTTGAGATAATTCTCCGTACCATTCGGCCAGAACATCTCTTACAGCAAAACAGGTCTGAAATAGTCTGCAGTGATCACGATATCTGCAGCCCCTTTTATAGCTTCTCAGAAATCATAGAGTAAAGGAATCGGCATACCGGAACAACAAGCAACAGGATCATAGATAAACATTACTAGAGAGAGCTTGAAGAAAGTTGTCATTTCCAGCAAAGCAGAACATTTAAGCACCTACTTCTTCTGGTACATAAAATGCAATTGAACTCTAATTACGAATGTCCCAACATACATACGGTTTGACCTATGAACTGTTGCTCAGCCTAGATTTCGTTTTGACATCTGAACCCCATTATGAACAGCATCAGATGGAGCACTTGAACAGCACCAAACCCCTTGTGCCAAAAGGAGCATGCGTGCAAGTGATAGAGTGCTTGTGTTGAAAGCGCCACAAGACAGAGTGCTCTGTCTTTTGTACAGGGTTTCTAGGGAGCAGCATATGCACATGGAATCTACCTAAGTACAAGAGACAGCACACTGTTACAGGAGGCCATTCAAGCTCAGGCAACAGGATGTTCACAAGCTTATGTGAACAGGTTTGCTAAGCAATGCACAACGTATTTGGTGTCAGGAGAAACTAGCCTTTAACTGTAGTCCTACACAAGAGACCTCAACACATAGAGATCCCAAACATGGGTGACAGCGGGGGGGGGGGGGGGGGGTGAGCCAAGCAGTGTGGCAAATCCATGGGGGAGTGGGGGAAACCCCACCCCACATTGCTCGCATCGCCACTTTCCCCATCATATGGGGGAAAGTGTCACCGCCCGGTTTCCCCCCACATCAAACCTGTTCTAGCTAATGGAAGCACAGCAAGTCTCTCATGTTCTCTGGGCTCTGTCCTAGGACACTTCCAGGATGGAGCCCCACCAAAAGTAGCCCTGTGCCATGTGATGGGCTCCGGCAGTGTCCTGGCAGTGTCCTAGGACACTGCAAAAGTACGTGTGATGAGGTCCTTGGTGGGTGTGGGTGGGTGTTAAGGAGGGAGAGGAGAGGACATAGATCTACCAAGGAACATCTGGATAAGCATGTTAATAGCAATGGTTGCAACATTTGTATGTATTTCCTTCATATTATCATGCTGCAGAAGAAAGCGGTGATTACAGGTTAAGGCTGCCAGGAAAAAGAAAGCTCCTGTGCACGTGATGTCTGTGAAACAAACAACAACTGCTGACTTTCCCTTTACTATACAACATTAAAGATGAAGGAGACCTTCCTGTGCTTCACTCGAAACCCTACTAGAAAAAAGACTTGTGTCAAACTTAACTAGAAAGTAGAGATGTGGTTACAAGCAGAATGTAATAGAAGCAGGGTCCTAAATTATTGCTTATTTGTATTACTGCAGCCTGGATTAAGGCATGTACCAATAAATAAACATATTCATTATTGCTTTGGTCTGTAGATTTTAATGTTTGTAATTCTTTAAAATGCATCAAAATCATTAACAAACAAAACATGCACAGTCAAACTGAACTGGGTAAATAGTTTGCCGACCCACTGCCTATCAAATACTCTATTGCCCCATGCAAACTAAAACTCAGCTCTGAGGGGCCTTTTTGATGTACTGTTCTTTCTGTTGGCTTCTGAAGCCAGGCAAGCTCTGCCTCAAAGAATGCAGCATGCAATGCATCTGTTCAGCCCTGATGATGAAATGTGCTATTCCTGAAATAATACCAGTAAGACAATCACGTGTAAAACACATGGGCACATTTTTGGATTATTATTTTTAATGATGACTTTCACACAAAACCTTTTCACCCACCACCTGATGGCATGAAAATGTAGTAGTTTAGAGTTTGAATCACTCCTGGGGGCCAGCCAATCACAGATTACGTTCTGTCACTCAGTCATATTTGAAGCATTGCCAGAGGCAAAGCAGCGGGTAAAAATAGCCTATGAGTGCCTATCTGTTACTTGACACTGCATGGTTATTCCAATACGTATGTTTGCCTCTTCTCCACCATGTTATAGACTTGGTTTATCCTTACCTAAGATATATCTGTTTGTTTTACTGTCTTTGGATTTCTTTGCATTTCACCTATTTTGGCAGCTTCTGGGAGCAAAGACTTCAACTTCCAAAGTCATTATCCTTATTTCCATAAAAAAAAACCCACTGAGGATGTGACACGGGGGTTAGTCGCAAGCAGTCTAGTATTAAATATAATGTTCTATAACTTTGTTCATCTGAAGACAGCATTGTGGCCCTCCACCCACAAAAAAGTATGATATAAAAGGTAAGAGATGTTTTCTTTCGTGTGTTGGCATAAAAATGTATAATTGTGCATAGATAGACAGACAGATAGAAACTCTCTCTGTGTGTATGTATATGTGCTGAAAGTATAATATTTAAATGCTATACAAACATTACAAGCCTAAATAAATATTACAATTGAATTAATTATTAAAAGTTTCATACTTGGGAGTATCCTTGAGTTATGTGGGACTTTTCTTAGACATATCCAGGCCAAAGTTATTCAATGTCGGTGTTAAAATGTGAACAGTAGTTATAGCAACATTTGTCATGTTGTTTTAGTTTCTAGTTTCTAGTTCAAATATTCCCTTCATAGGACACCTTTGAAAAAAGAAGGTGGGGTTGCTTTGTTTGACATGGAATTTTTCAAAAACATTTGTCAGAACGTAATTTACTCTAATGTTAGTTAGTCTGATATCCCACACATGAAACTATTTTGTTATTACCAGTTGTCCTATGCAGATACATGGCCAAATTCAGTTAAATTTAGAAAATCCTATTCTTTTTAAGGTCCTGTACTAATAACATTTATCAAAATGAAATCAAGATTTTTATGCATGCAGGATAAATAGTTTGCTTCTCTGCTTGGGTAGCAAGACATACATGAAAATATGAAGAAAAATTGTATGGTTCAATACATTTCCCATTTATGGTAACCTGGGGGGTGGGGGCAGAATTTGATGCTGGCTTGATTTGCTCAGAGATAAGCAGGGATTTGAACCCTGGTCCCCAGAGTAGTAGTCCGATGCTCAAACCATTAAATCATACTGGCTCTGTATCCAGGATAACAGTGCTAAGGGCTACTGCACAAAAATATCCTAAGCATTCTGATAAGTTACTTCACAATATGTAAGAGAATTAAAAAAAATATGTTCAGTCTCATTCCAAAACTTAAAGTCATCTGTCTTATTGAAAAACTCAGAGACTGTGGCAGAATAGCATTTACAGTTTGATGCTATAGAAGAGGGAATGATCAGATAGGTATGAAACCAGACAGGTCTATGGGGAAAAACCGGTGGCGTCTGATCCAATGTGGAACCCAATGAACAAGGATGCAGAGGTACTACTGATCGACACGATCAACAAGTATATATCAGAAACTCTTTCTCACATATAACAGAGATCTGCAAGATTAATATAACTCTACTACTGCTAATAGTTGTCATAAATGTAAGTCTATCCGTCTTGAACAATTAATGCCTTCCTGATGGGGACAAAAGTTTGAACGTAAGGGCAATGATTGGGAAAGAAATTATTGACTCCTGAAAGCATTTGCCAGTACTTTGACAACGTAACCATCACATTATACCTCCCATTTTACAGCTCTCAGCTATTTCATTGTTTTTGTTTTTGTCCTTTTGTGCTAACCAGAGGCAAGTGGGTGGAAGAAAGATGAAATCAGCATGATAGGAGGTGTTTTCTGGCACCACTAAGGTTTTTTTTCTTCCTGCCCTGGTTGTTTATTATTTTATATGGTTATTACACTTCAGTGCTATGCAGTATTTGTCTCTTCTTTCCTTGCATGGTTTGAAAATGTCGTATTTTCTGTTTACACTATTTTTTTGGATTTATTACCAATAACTCTGCTAATAACTCCTAAGCTGGAAACAAACACTTAAAAACTGCAAAACTTTAGAAATACTGTTTTGGTACTGTTTTGAATGTGCCTTTTCTCCCCTGTCACAATTGGTAATTATCCTTAACTGCATCTCCCGCTACAGATCAACCCCAGACACTGCAGTCATTGGAGGAGGCCCTGCTCTTGGTCCTGCCCCCGTCCCAAGAGCGGCTGGTGGGAACGAGAGAAAGGGCCTTCTCCCTGGCTGCTGCTCACCTGTGGAACTCCCTGCCTAAGGAACTAAAGATGGCCCCCTCCCTCCCGGCCTATAAGAAACAGCTGAAGACGTACTTCTGCTCACAGGCTTATGAGGAGGAGGAGGAGGAGGAGGAGGAGGAGGAGGAGGAGGAGGAATAGAATGGCAGGAATACTGCCACTCTACCTCTGATTAATAGCAGCCATACGCATCCATGCCCTATTAGCCCCACTAACTCAATAGACATCTTGGACAATCATCTGCCCCCAAGGAATTCCGTTGGCTCTGGGAAACCGATGATTCTGCTTGATGTTTTGTTTCATGTCTGATGTAATAGGTTTCGTTTTTCATTTAACTTTAGTTGTTAAATTATTATTTGCTCTTATATGTTGGGTTGTTAATTTTTGTTATTATGTGTGTATTGCTTGCTGTCTTCAGGCATTGAATGTTTGCCTGTTATGATTGGAATTCGCCCTGAGTCCCTTCAGGGAGATAGGGCAGAATATAAGGAAAGTATTATTATTATTATTATTATTATTATTATTATTATTATTATTATATGTGGACTACAAGCTTTCTAGCATGAGTCCAGGAATATAGACATAACAAAGCCTCCAAAGAGTTGACGATGGATGAGTTGTTTGTCTGTGCAGAAGCTATGATGATTCCAAGCTGAAACACTAGGTTTGCGATATCTACTGCTAATCGTTTCTTGGCTTTGGATACAGAAAATGAGCCTTTATCTGAGTTCTTGGAAGTCTCTGGCAGAAATCAACATACTTGGAGTCAACTGGGTCAGTTGAGGTTGTGCTTGAAAAATTACTTCATGCTGAGAAGAAGCAACACATTGAACTATAATCATGCCCTCCAGATTTGTGACAAAACACTGCCTTTTAATGGCATACAGTATTATTTCAATTTATGAATACTTAGAAAAAGTATAGCTGTTAATACTTGTTAAAGAACTTGAACTTACTTCTTAATAGAATCATAGAGTTGGAAGAGACCTCATGGGCCATCCAGTCCAACCCCCTGCCAAGAAGCAGGAATATTGCATTCAAAGCACCCCTGACAGATGGCCATCCAGCCTCTGTTTAAAAGCTTCCCAAGAAGGAGCCTCCACCACACTCCAGGGCAGAGAGTTCCACTGCTGAACGGCTCTCACAGTCAGGAAGTTCTTAGTTCAGATGGAATCTCCTGTACAAATTTATCGTTTGATAAATTTGTACAGAAACATGCAGATTTAAAAGGAAGTTTCGCTCAATCTAACAATACATGATCCAGAAAGCAGGAAAAAATGTGACAAACAACAACATCCTCACAAATCATCATAAATGCTTCTGTGGGTAGCTAATTAGTTATTGTCATCGCTTTCTTCCAGGCCGGGCCCAGGAGGGCCTCGTTATCGCCCTCCTCCAGGCCACCGGGGCTCCAGTTGACTTGTCATTTATTCGTTTTGGCATTGAATATTTGCCACTCTGTTACTTTTGTTGTAAACCACCCTGAGTCCCTTTGGGGAGATAGGGAAGTACATTAAAATATTATTATTATTATTATTATTATTGTTGTTGTTGTTGTTGTTGTTATTATTATTCCTAAAAGAGATGGGAAAGAGAGCTGCAACAAGAACAAGAAAAGTCAATCATGCTGCAATTGTTTTTAAAAGCCAATTTATTTTTTATTTATTTTATTTATCGTGTCATCAGCAACCATACCATTGTGTTACAATTCTAACAGAACAAAACAAACACACAGATTAAAAAGAAAAAAGAAAAAAAACACAGATTTTGCAAACTTGGTAGTTGGTTAAATGTCCTTTGACCAGTATCTGGCCACTTGGAGTGCCTCTGGTGTTGCCGCAAGAAGGTCCTCCATTGTGCATGTGGCAGGGCTCAGGGTGCATTGCAGCAGGTGGTCAATTGAAGCCAATTGAAGACTATTTAAAAGACAATAGTTGAAGATTGTATACAGTTAACATGTTGCCTCTGAGCCTACTTTTATTGATATATTCTTATAGTATGGATACACTTGTAAAATGGCTTTCCCAAACAAGTACTCTTCACCTTCAGTATGACATCCTTTCAGATGTATCACATGACTATCAGAAACCTCTTAAAGGCTGTTTTCTAAGCCAGAAGTGCACAATTTGGAAATAGGCAGAAACCAAAATTAAAATATACATGGGGACCTTGGTCAACTTAATTTTTATGTAGTCATCTTTGGACAGTGTCAGTCTTTTGTGAAATTTCTGGATCAAAAGTTCAATGTCATTTCAGTGTTTTTCTCCTAACTTAGCACACTTACATAAGAGAATATGTTTCATACATATAGTAATGTGGCACATTTCTTGTTTTGATGAAGTAGACTTTTGAATAGTCTCCATTTCATTTCGAAATTTTTGCTGCAAAAATTTGAAAAATACATCAAGTTTTTCCCTTAAAGCTATAATTTCAGTAACTTTGAGTGACTTGTGAAAAATACATACCATTATTCCAAACTTTATTGTACAGCTCTAGGAATATTTCCAAGTCATTCGCTAAGAACTGAAAAATTTCTTCCATGAGAGCAACAAAATGTTGCAATACTCTTCCAGGGTTCATCCAATGAACTATCCGTGAGATGGGGAGAGCTCCTGTCTGTCAGCTCTAGCTCCCGTCTGTCAGCTCATGCAGTGACATGAGAGAAGCCTCCCACAGGCATCTGTGGGGAAAGTCTCTGCAGACAGTCAATTCTCTCAAACCAGAAGCAATTTGATTTTTAAAAACCCAATGAACTTTTGTGTGATATAATATATCCCTGCAGGTGGCACCAACCTCTTCAAGAAATGCTTGAAATGACCTATATTTTAATCTCCTTGAACGAATATAGTTTACAACTGAAAATGCTACTGATATTACATGGTTAAAATTCAAAACTTTGCCAGTGTACAATGCAATGATATTTAATTATTTTTTCCTGCACATTGATGGAATACCAACAGTGCAAATGGCCACTAGGTTTTCAAACTTTCTGCCTAATTTTTTAGTTACACTCTTCTTTACTTTTGCTGTTCCTTTTCCAGAAGTTTGATCTCACACATAGTACAAACTAGCTTTTCCTTAGTTACTTCAAAGCTGTCATCAACACCTCAAACAAAAATTAGAATTTGAGCAGTATCTTTCAAATCAAT